AGTAGTAGTAGTAGTTGTAGTATTAGTAGTAGTAGTAGTAGTAGTAGTAGTAGTAGTAGTAGTAGTAGTAGTAGTAGTAATAGTAGTAGTAGTAGTAAGAGTCGTAGCAGTAGTAATAGTAGTAGTAGTAGCAGCAGCAGCAGCAGTAGTAGTAGTAGTAGTAGTAGTAGTAGTAGTCGTAGTCGTAGTAGTAGTAGTAGTAGTAGTAGTACTAGTAGTGGTAGTAGTAGTAGTAGTAGTAGAAATCGTAGCGCCAGAACCGCCGACGCCACGCCAGAACCGCCGACGACACGCAGCAGCAAGTGGATGCTGTGCTGCGCTATGCTATGCTCTGCTATGCTATGCAATATTATGCTATGCTGCGCAATGCTATGCTGGGCTAGGCTAGGCTAGACTAGGCTAGGCTAGGCTATGCTATGCTATGTTATTCTGCGCTATGCTATGCTGCGATATGCTATGCTATGCTATGCTATGCTATGCTATGCTATGCTATGCTATGCTATGCTATGCTATGCTATGTGTGTGCTTTGCCTTCGCTTTTGCCTTCACGTTTGCCTTTGCTTTTGCTGTTGCGTAGCACCCAGGGAGCGCAACTGGAGGAACCGCGCGTTTGCTTTTACCTTTGCTGTTGCTTTTGCTTGGCTCCCAGGGGACTGGGGGAACCGCCCGGGGCGGTTTCCACTGCCCGGCCCTTTAAGCTACAGAGTAAGAACCCTTCTAGGCAGAGCCTAGGTAGGGAAAAACAATGTTCTTAGAACAAAAACCCGATGTGTTGAATCAAGACAGTCCCAGCCAATAATGGTCTAAGAACATCTCGTGCAGACCAGAAAAGTTATTCGAACATTCTTTGGCCAGCCAGGACGCTTCGCCACTGCTCGAAAGACCCCTCCACACGCGACCAGGGCCGCGATCCATCCACCCGCGACCCAGACCGCTCGCGACGCGCCTGCGACCCGTCCGCGCCCCGCCGCCCCGCGACCCCTCCGCGACGCGCCCGCGACCTGACCATATGCAACCCAACCCGCGAGCCGCGCCGCGAGCCGCCAGCGACCTGTCCCGCGCCCACCGACCGCGCGGTACGAACAGCAAGAAGCGTGGGAAAACCTCAAGCCTCGCACGTTCATCCTCGAGTTTCCCTAGACTTAGGTCGGGCGTGTGGACGAACAACGGAAATAGCCAAACAATATTCAAACAATGCCAAAACATACCCCAAAAACGTTCCCTATATTATTTGTTGGTTATTTGTTGACTACCATGTAGAAGGACAGGCCCGATTTAACTCTGGACATGTTGGCACGGAGTGAAGGGCTCCTGGACCCCCGGGGCATTCCCCAGGAGCCACAAACGGTCCGTGCGGAGCTGTGTCCGGGAACCAAGTCCAGAGCACCTGTCCTGCGGGACCCCTTCTCTTCATGGCCGCCCCCCCCCCCTCACCAGATCCAGCCTAACTCCATCTAGTGCTCTTCGGAGCCGTGCGCAACCGTGGCGATGAGGGACGCCCAGGAGGCTCGAACTTCGATTGTCGAACCCCGAACGACCTCCTCCCCGTTGACTCTCGAACTTCGATTCTCGAACTTTGATTCTCGAACTTCGATTCTCGAACTTCGATTCTCGAACGAACCCCAGGAGGCTCGAACTTCGATTCTCGAATTTCGATTCTCGAACCCCGAACGCAAGAGTGGTCCTGGGCAGGACTGCCCCTTGCTGAGCAGCGCGGCCCCCGGGGCCCACGGGGAGGGCGGGGGCGAGCAGCAGAAGCGCGCACACCAGGGCTGGGGGGGGCCATGCGAGCGACGAATACATAGAAACAAAGGGGCCCTGGGACACGCACACAAAAACATACAAATCCCAGGGTTCCCCACATTTTCCAATGTGTTCTGGGTTTCGTCTTCCCACCACTTCTCATATGCTCCCATATTTTCCTGGGAGTCGACGATTCATGGTGTCTATCTGTTTTTGTCCACTCCTGCCATGTGAGCGAGACATCGAGAAAAGGGTCTTAAGCACAATGGCGCAGGGACCTCACGCGGTGGCCTACGCGGGCCGCCGGTGCGGCACGGCACATCGAGTGCAAAAGGGCACCTTCGCGCGACCCTCGAGCGGACGCTTACTGCCAACGTCTGTGAAGACGACCCGTTTTCGTACGGCGCTCATTTCGTACGGCGTAAAAAAAAAAGACACGCGTAGTGAAAAGGCACGGGCTTGAGAGCGCCATACGAGTAAGGTGCTCGGACTTCATGTCAGAGCTCGGGTCTCCTCGCTGCCGTTCGGGGCGGCCCCGGGGACCCCCAGAACGCGGTCGGCGAAGCGCGGAAGGTCGCCAGGGGTCGACGCCGAAAAATTGAAAACCTTGAACTTCGAGGCTCGAACTCAGGGCGTTGCGTAATGGGAACGATGAGTGGGAGCGGGGGGGGAAACGCATCCTCTCGTGCCCCTGTTGGGTCGCAGGTGCCCCCTCTAGGGCCTTCGACTCTAGGGCTCCTCTAGGCTCTGGGGCGTA